AGGAAGCAGAGATAATCAACAGACTTTCTGTGAAGGGTAGTTGATGTCTACCACCGTGCACTTCTCTACGCCTCCATATTCTTGTGATTTTGTGTTTCTGAATCTGAGTCTGCTTTATACTTGTAGCCAACATGTATGGAGTGTTTTGTGTACTGCTCACTGTGCTAAATGCTTTATACAAATTAAGTAATTTAAAATATAATGTAATAAGAGGTAGTTGCTATTATTATGTTCATTTTATAGGTGAGATCAGAAACTTGAGGAAAATGTATAGCTAATCAAGGGTGGGGCCGAGATTTGAACTTGTAGTCCCAGTCAAGAAACCTGGCTCCTAACACTGTGTCATCCGACTCTAAACACTCTTTTTGGCTGATTTAATAATGATAATTTAATAAAACACCTATGACATTCTAAAATCATAACTCTGGGGTCTCTCCTGGAGGAGTGGTTAGATGTTATTTCCCCACTGTTTGGCGTCTTAAAAGGCTGACCATCAGAGAGCAAAGGCAGCAAAAGAGATTATCAGAAGATTAAATAAAGTTATCAATATGTAAGGCAAGAATGGGAAATTAGGATTGCAGGCCCTGTATCAGGATGTTTATCTTTTATGAGCTAATTAAGACTGATTACAAAAGGTAAGACTTTTACTTGAATAGCTCTAGACTAAGCCCAATGTGCAGGTGACTTTTTAAAAAAAGAATGTAGGTAAGAATATGTGTGTATGTTTGTGTGTGTGTAGAAACAAATTGGCCCAATCTCCTTTGATCCTTGACAATCGTGTGGCTAAGTCTGATTATCATTTTCATGTTACAGAGGAGGAAACCAGCTCAGAGAAAGTACACGATTTGTTTAGTTAGAATCAAACTCAGAATCTTGCCCTTTTAACTCAGTTGAGTGTTTCTCTTTGTGTTTGTTGCCTTACCCACAGCTCTTTCAAATGTGTAGGGAAGGTGGATAAATGATTTAATATGAAGTATATCAGCATCATTGATATTTCTGGGATGGAAATGCTTCCCATAAATGATGAATTCTCAAGTACGTAAGAATAAATACACATTCTCACTCTCATCAGCTAGTTGTAATACTGCACAAAGCTCACTGGGAATGCACCGAGTGAATATGAGGTTTAGGCTGTCCCTCCAGCTCAGCTATTCAGCACCAAGCCACAAAAAGTGATTTTCGAATTTGAGAAGTTGAGTGTGGTTGTTGCCCTGCGACAAAAAAAGCATTGTGTTTATGAGATGTCTGCAGATAGCGGCAGAGGAGTCCCACATGAGAATGTCCCTAAATAAGAGAAAACAGAGTGATTGCGGGTAAGCACATATTTTTAGAGATGTGAAGACCAGGTTTCAAATCTCCTTCCTACTACTTACTTGCTGTGTGACCTTCTATAAGCTATTTCATCTTTCCGCATGCATGAAAGTAACTAGAGTGAAATATTAGTTAACTTTTTCTCTTTTAAAATAAAATTTGTCTACAGTGAAATGCATGGATTTTCAGTGGACCACTCCATAAGTTTTGATAAAGACTTACACTTGTGTAACTCAAACTCCAATCAAGATACGAAGCATTACTATCATCCAGAAAGTTCCCTCATGCCCCCTCCCTGTCAACCCCATAGGCAACTATTGTTTTGGTTTCTTTCCATCTATTATACTCTTGAAAATGGTTTCTATTTTATGGAACAACAATTAATTTATTTAATGATAACCACTGATAATCGTTTGGTTATCCAACTAATAACCATTTTGTTTGTTTCCATGATTTTGCAATTCCTACATTTCTATACATGTGTTTTGTTTTGTTTTTTAAAGATTTTATTTATTTATTTATTCATGAGAGACAGAGAGAGAGAGAGGCAGAGGGAGAAGCAGGCTTCCCGCGGAGCAGGGAGCCCGATGCGGGACTCGATCCCAGGACTCTGGGATCATGACCTGAGCCGAAGGCAGACGCTTAACCATCTGAGCCACCCAGGCGCCCTCTATACATGTTTTTATTCATATGCATAAATCAGAAAAATTCCTGAAAGTGAAGTTTTTGTAGAGATTGCCATTTGCTCTCAAAGGAGTTATAAAAATTCACTCTCCTGCTCACATTGCAGGAATATCTGTTTGCCCACACCCTGATCAACAGTGAATTATGACTTGGATTCAATAAATTTTTACTGTTCACTTGCTACACAGGATGCTCCAAGGTGTATCAGTAGATCTAATAGGAATCTCACTCTTAAGGAGCTGACTGTTAGTAAGAGGAAAGATGTGTACATAACTACTTGTAAGACAGGGTACAAAGTGACAAGGAACAAAGTGCTGCTGGGCTCCCCCGCGCTGACAAGGGTGGGGACTGGAATGCATCATGGATATGGATGGGGTTTGTTTACACTCCTTCTATATCCGTCTCACCATTATGCATGGGGTAGATAATAAATACTTATATCATTGATTGGTAATTAGTGAGGATTTGCTGATTTAATGATTCATGATCTCTTGATCCCTTGATCCTCCCTCAATTGCCTCCCCACCTTTTCTAATCTTTTTTCGTCTGGCATCAGCTAGAGCCAGTCATACCCTTGAACATGTGCTTGGCAGAAGAGGGAGTTGGTCTGATCCAAGCCAAGGGTTTCTGTTTTCCCCAGTCCCCTGTGAAGACATTGAAGGAACTCTACGGGATTAAGGTCATGGAATGAGTGAGGAACAGTGGTCCAGGTGGCATCCTAGCCACCAATCCCCTTTCCCTGGGGTCCAAGTGGCTACTTCTTTCTGCTTTCACTTTTGCTTATACCTGGGAATCGTAGTCAAATAAAGGGACCGTGATTCCTCTGAGGAGAATGATGAATAGTGAGCCCCAGGTTCGTCTTCCAGCTGGACTCCTACTTTCTCTGTACACCTCCCCAGCAGCATCCCTTCCTGCAATCCCCACTTAGCTTTTCTACTTTGAGACTTCCTGCATCTCCCCTTTGACCTAGTTATCTCCTTCTCCTTTGCCATCCCCATCTCTTTTTCCCTTCTCTCTCTCACGTTCTGCTCTTGGTCCATTTATTTGATAAGCATTTACTCAGCATGTATTATGTGCTTACGGGAGCAGCTATGGTACATAATTTGCGAGGTCTGGTGCAAAATGAAAATGCAGGGCCCCTCAACTGAAATTAAGAATTTCAAGACCAGGCAGAGCATCAAACCAGTCATGAGGGCCTGTGTGAGTGCACAGGCTGCAAGTCCATGAGGCTGAGGCTGACCTTGTGTGCACAGTATTGTGGGGACATGGTGAGAATGTGTAACATCACAGAATTGAAATCTCGGTACATTTCCTTTTCCTTTTTTTTTTTAAAGATTTTATTTATTTATTTGACAGAGAGAGACACAGCGAGAGAGGGAACACCAGCAGGGTGAGGGGGAGAGGGAGAAGCAGGCTCCCCGCAGAGCAGGGAGCCCGATGTGGGACTTGATCCCAGGACCCTGGGATCATGACCTGAGCCGAAGGCAGTCGCTTAACCGACTGAGCCACCCAGGCGCCCCCCCCCTTTTTTTTTAAGTAAACTCTATGCCCAGCGCGGGGCTCACACTCAGGACCCTGAGATCAAGAGTTGTATGCTGTACTGACTGAGCCAGCCAGGTGCACCCTCAGTACATTTTCAAGACAATTTTATTATGAAGATATCCCAACACACATAAAAGAAAGAGGAAAGGATAGTATAATGAACTCTCTGTGTACCCATCACTCAGCTTCAACAATTACGTTTCATCTACTCTTTCCATCTCCCCTACTTTTTAAAGGCAGCATGTCACTTTTATCCTAAATGTTTCAGAATGCAGTTCTGACTGACGAGAACTTATCTGTGCCCAGCCACCCTGCCATTATCATGCTTAATGAAATTAATATTAAATCCTTAGTATCACCTAATATCCAGTCCATGTTATTTTCCCCCCGTTGTCTCAGAATGTGTTCTTACAGTTTGTACATTCTTTTAAAATATGCTGTTAAAGGGGTGCCTGGCTGACTCAGTCAGTAGAGCATATGTTTCTTGATCTCAGGGTCGTTGGATTTGGGCCCCACACTGGGCATGGAGCCTACTTTAAAAAAATTAAAAAGGGGTGCCTGGGTGGCTCAGTTGGTTAAGCATCTGACTCTTGATCATGGCTCAAGTCTTGATCTCAGGGTTGTGAATCTGAGCTCCGCGTTGGGCTCCACACTGGGTGTGGAGCCTACTTATAAACAAACTATTAAGGACAATATGGACATTTCAAAAACAATCCAGTTAGGAAATGGACAAAAGGTGTGAACAGATATTTCACTGAAGAGGATGTACAGATGGCAAAGAAGCACACAAAAAGATGTTCATTAGTCCTTAGGAAAATGCAAATTAAAATCACAACGAGAGAGCACTTACACACCTATCAGAATGGCTAAAATTAAAAAAGAGTAATAACACCAAATGCTGGTGAGGATGCAGAGAAACTGGATCACTCATGCATTTCTGGTGGGAAGGTTAAGATGGTTTGGCCACTTAGGAAAAATGTAGCAGTTCCTTGTACAACTAAACATGCACTTACTATATGACCCAGCAATTGTATTCCTGGACATTTACCCCCCAAAATGAAAATCTGTGTGCACACAAAAACCTTACAAGAATATTCATAGCAGGTTTATTTGTAATAGCCCCAAACTGGAAACAACCTAAATGTCCTTCAACAGGTTAAACTCTGGCACATCCAAACCATGGACTACTACTCAGCAATAAAAAGGACAAACCACTGAGACACACAGTACCTTGCAAGGATCTCAAGGGAATTTGCTGAGTCAAATAAGCCAATCTGATGCCATTAATATAGCACTCTTGAGAAAACTATATGAAGAACTGATTAGTCATTGCCAGGGTTTAGGGAAGTGGGGAGAACAGAAGGTGGCCAAGCTGTGAAATAGGAACATAAGAATCTCTTATGCTAGGAATATTTTGTATCTTGACTGTGATGGTGGTCACACACATAGTAAAATTATACAGAACTAAAACCGGACACACAAATGAGTGCATGAAGAAGTGGTGTAATTTGAATAGGGCTTGATGGAGTGCATCAATGTCAATTTCCTGGTTGTGTCATTGGGCTGTAGCTGAACAGGATGTTACCATTGGGGAAACTGGATGAAGGGTAGACTGAATCCCTCTGAATCATGTCTGACATTCGTGTGTTAAAACATATGGACATTTCTGGTTGCACACAAAAAAACCCCAGAGAGTAGGAATGGGAATGACAAAGGGGAGACTCTTCACTTTTCACTTGATAACTTGCTGTTCTTTTCCCTTTTGTTTTACCACGTGCGTGTGATACTTTTTGTTGTTAATTAACGCTTGTGTTTTGGGTCTGTAAAAAAATATAATTCTAGAAATTTTACCTAAGAAGTTTGTTTTAGAAGCATCTTATCTGGTAAGCTTAGAATTTGAATTGCAATGCAAGAAAGTGGGTCAGTGTTGAATTCTGAGTATTGACATAACTGCAAATTATATATTGCACTCCAACTGTTGAGTGGAAGGGGAAGGGAGGAAGAAACTAATAAGTATGAAACTCTTTGGGGTAGAAAAAAAGAGTGTTCATTTTAAAAATACAGTTGCATTTGGGGGCTTCCCCCTTTCTCATTGTTAATTGAGACATATTAATTTCATGTATCAACTTGACTGAGCTAAAGGACACCCAGAGAGCTGACAAAACATTTCTGGGTGTGTCTATGAGGGTGTTCCCAGAAGAGATTATAATTTGAATACGGAGACTGAGTAGGAGGTGGCCCTCACTAGTGTGTGTGTGCGGGAGGTAGCAACCAATCTATTGAGGGCCTGAATGGAACAAAAAAGCAAAGGAAGGGCAAACTTGCTTTCTCTGCTTGAACTGAGACATCCATGTTCTATTGCCCTCAGACACAGGTGCTCCTGTTTCTCAGGTCTTTGGATTTTGGATTGGAACTACACCACCAGCGCACTTTCCCGGGCCTGCAGATTGTGGGACTTCTCAGCCTCCATAACCATGTGAGCCAATCCCTGATAATGGATCTCTTTTCATATATACCTATACATATCCTATTATTTGTTTCTTTGGAGAATCCTGACTATTGGATTCTACTTGGCAGAAGTTCAGACACTATAATCTAGATCATGTTTGTAAGGTTTAGTCTAGAAATTGTCTCATTCCTCCAGAGATTAAATTTGCTAGCAGATTAGGAAAACAGGGTGCTAGATTCTTTGAAGGAAGACTGGGCAGAGCTGGGAAATATGCATCTACAATAAAAGATTATACCACATTAGCCTGAGGTAAGATTTAGCATTAAGTTAAGTAACTGATTAACGTTTCAAAACAATGGGAAGGATGCATAGTTGTGCTCAAATGTGAATCTACAAAGTCTTTTTTTTTAAATTTAAATATTATCTATTTTTTGTTTGTCAGAATGATCATTTCAAAAAGTATACAAGTGAAATTGAAACATTTAGGCATATTTTATTCCAGGATTAATATATCAATGTCCTCTGTAATGTGTTTTTATACATCAAGACATAATTGAGATCATACTATATAGTTTCATCTTTTTTCCAACTAATATTATATTTTACAAATTCCCAATGTTGAAATTCTTTACAAACAGAATTCTGGGTGGTGCAGTCGGTTGAGTGTCTGACCCTTGGTTTTCGGTTTGGGTCATGATCTCAGGGTCATGAGATCGAGCCCCATGGTGGGCTCCCCACTCTGTGAGGAGTCTGCTTGGGATTCTTTCTTTGCCTCTCCCTCTGCCCTTCCCACTTGTGCTCGTGCACGCTCTCTCTCACAAATAAATAAATCTTTAAAAAAACATATATAATTTTTGATGGCTATGAAACATTACATCCTGGATGTACCATAACTTATTCAAACATCCTCCTATTGTTAGATATTTATAAGTTACTTGATATCACAAATCATACTGGGACAAGCATGTTTATTCATAAAGCTTTATCTCCACCACCATGCTCTCAGCATATATGAGAACTTCTATATGCTTGAATATATAACTTGAATATATGAGAAGTAACATTTTAATTTGCCCTTATGTTTCTTACTATTGGACATTTTCCCATATTTTAAATTTATATTAGCTGTACATGTCATGAAATCTTTGAAAGAGGGAGTGTGAGTGTGTATTTGGAGATGTACTTATGGTGTTAGTTAGCAGATAAGCCTAGTAAGGATGACTGGAAATCCTGGAGTATGCTGGAATAACGGAAGAAGGGAGAAGAGGAAAACAGCCAGTGATGGGGGATAAGACGGGAAAATGAGCTCTGAGACCAGAAAGAGCCAGAGGGCGGGGGCAAGGAATCCCCTCTTAATGCCTCTGGGGCCATTGAGCCATCGAAGGACACATACCTGCTTCCCAACAGATGTCCAGTGTGGTTTCAGCTTCTGAATAAAGAGTATTCTCAAAGAAGTCCAAAGACTACTGAAACACAAGGTCTTCGGATTGTTGTACAGGTGGCACATACGGAGCAGGGCCTTTGGATAAATAGCTGAGGGAGTGGTAAAGCTGTAGGTCTGGGTGGGAAGGAACAGGGCTCATACTAGGCAGGGAGAGAGGCCCCAGGATTTTCTCAGGATCTGCTTTGTCGGTGAGCAACTTCCAGGCCATGGCAACTCCAGCCTGTCGCCCTGTGCTGCCACCTTGCCCTGGTTCTGCTAGTCAGTGTAGCTGGAGCTGATTCAAATATCTGGGCAGAAGCTCAGCCAAGTTCTGGCTCTCTCTGATCCCAGCCCCATTTCAGGCACCCTGGCTGGTCAGAAGATAGTAACTGCCAAACTGGTTAGTTGCAAAATCCATCTGGCTTAGTTTTCCATCCCTGAAGAGGACTGTTTCCTCTCCTTCCACATAAGTTGCCCTGAGGTGGGCAGAGGGGCTCGCAGTATGGAAAGAGCTGTTCGCAAACACCTAGAGTGGACAGGGGGTGACTGCAGGAAGAACACACAACACCAGGGAGGACAAAGACCCAGAAATATTATGCCTGATGGCATTAAGTTTATTCTGAGGGAAAGGAGAGTTTGGGGTATCATACCACCCCCTCCACAGCATCCCCCAGGGCCACAGAGGAACCTCTATCAGACAGAGAAATCAGAGTCCTAGTGTCACACAGTGGAAGAAGGGGAAGCAGAAGGTCTGCTTTTTCATCCCAATAGTTTTGCTTCCCCTTGGGAAGCCTTAAAGTCTGGCATTTATGGCTGGAGGCACAGGGCCCATCCACTTCTCTCCTAGATGGAGAAAATCAAAGTCAGAGGCTGGCCCCACAAACCCCCAGGGGTTTTCTAGGAAGAGCTCTGCTTGGCTTCCTTTTCTTCTATGGGGGTGAAGGTGGCCTCTCCCCATTCAGCCCTGAGAACTTCTGTGTATGAGGCTTCATTGTTGGAAATGCATAGAATATATATATATATTTTTTTGCTCTGGATCTGTCCTTCTGGTCAACTGATAAATGGGGGTGGGGCTGGGGTCAAGGGCAGCTCACCATGAACCTGAACTTACCCAGCAGGTGTGCCAGCAACTCCATCCGATCAGAGCCAAACAGCATGTGGGTTTGGCCATCCAGATGGGCCACGGTGATCGGCAGCCCAAAAGCCTGGATAAAGCAGTTACAGTGCAGGGAGTAAGGTGATGGAGCAGGTGTTCATTATGGCTGGGATGGAAGGCTAAGAGTCAATACTTGTCTGAGGTCATACAAGCAAAGCAGCTGAGGTTCCACAGCTCTAAGGAGTTTTCTGTTTCTGATGCTCAGATGCTCTGACTTTCCTCTCACCATCTACCTCCCTCCCTTCCTTTCCTTGGACTCTGGGGCAGGCAGGGAGAGGATGAAGGTTGTCTGGGACAGCTGGGAGGACTCATGTTGGGAGCAACTTTTAGAACAGGAGCATGGGGACCCAGCAGATGCTCAGCCTCATTCTTCAGCACTGGGGTTGGGGACCCACATCAAGAGTTGCTCACCCCATATTTGCAGGCTGCCTCGGTGGTCTCCTTGAGCTTGTTCTTCACGTTTGGTGTTGAGATCTTTTCCAGGAGTCCCCGGGCTTGTTCTGTAGACATGCCAGCTTTCTCTGCAGCCTGAGGGGATGTGGTAGGGAACACAACTGTGTCTGCATTAGTGGGGTAGGGATCTCAGGAGAAACTCTGGTATTTATTTTCTGCTCCCATTTTCCTGGTAAGGCCTTTACCCACCCACAAATAGAGGTCTATCTTTGCTATGAGGGGCTGTTTTTCTTTTTTCCCCCTTTAAAATCTTGTGAATGGTGGAAAGAACAAGGTGCAGAAATTGAAAGCCAGAGGGCATCTTAGAAACCAGCTCCCCAACCTCTTTATTAACCAGTGAGGGGACTACTGTCCAGAAGCAGTACATGACCTGGTTGGCATTAAAGAACTTGTTAGTGGCAGAGCCAACGCTAGAATCCAAGTCCCCTGACATTAAGTCTGGGCTCTTGCCTTTCTACTTCTCAGAATTCCTAAATATCTTGTGCTCTTTTGAAGCAAGGGCTGGGCTATAATTCTCATGGCATTTCCTGAGGACTTTAGAGCAGGGTACAGGGATATAGCCACCTGCAGGGCTTAACAAGAATAAACGTTTCAATTTGGGGTTTGTTGATATCATTTAGGATTAGTGGTTCTCAATTTGCCTGCATACTAGAATCTCCCGAGGGAGCTTTTAAAAAATCCCACTCATAGGTCATCCGCTAGAACAATTACATCAGAATTTTTGGTAGGCAGTGCCCAGGTGGTCCAGGTGACTAAAATATACAGCCAAGGTTGAGAACCACTGCAACCCGACCTCCTCAACCTGGAGGGGGAAACAGGAAGTTACGAGATGCATTCTGATGTGACAGGGTCTTTGACTTGGCTGCATGAGAGAATTGTGTCCAGACCAAATGTTCAACAACAGGGGAACAGTTAAGTAAACAAAAGTAGGCCCACTGAATGGAATGCTGTGTAGAAACTAAGAATGATACTTTCAAAGAGTTTATAATGGTATGGAAAATGATTGTTAGTAAGTGGAAAGACAAGCCTGTGCATATACTTTGCAGGAATTCTTTGTGATTTGCCGTTTTATGTATTAAATTTGAATATACCTCAACTATCTTTTGTAAACTGAAGGGAAAATATCATTTTGAATTTCCTGATTTAATCCCAAAGAAAAACTTACTTTTTATACCCCCGTGTATGGCTGCCACACATTTCAATGTTTTGAGCTATTTCCATGTGTTTCCACTCAGGCTTCTGTGGGATTTTTCTTTTTAAAGCCTGTCTGTAAAGTCTCCTGCTTTCTTCTCTCGATATATCGGTGAGGTCTGGTATTGGAGTGTTTGGGGCCAATACTTCATCCCTCCCCATCTGGGAGTGCCAACATGTAACATCTCTCTCCCACTGACTTCTTTCATGAAATAAAACCTACCCATGTAGAATTTTGCACTTCCCCTTTCAACCATGAGATATTCTTTTGGGAGTCCTCTGAGTTCCAAACTTTCATTAATTCAGCTCCTCAAACACAGATATCCTTTCTCCCCAAATAACTATGACCTTTTCCACCCAAAATGAAAACTGTGTCCTCTTTGCCCCTAAATGCCAGCTGTTGTCAGCTTCGCTATGAGAGGGGTGGGGACAGAGCCAGGATACTCACGGCCAGGATGCTCTGGGGCTCCGAGATGTCTTCATCCTGAGAAGAAGAGAACATTCCGCAGGAAGGGGGCGGTGAGGGGTGAGATGGGGGGACAGTAGGCCCGTGAACAACAGAGGAAGGCAGGACCAGGCCTCTGGAAACCAGGTTCTAGGGGAGGGTCAGCATATTGTCCAGGGTCTCCCAAGTAGGTTCCCAGAGCTCTGCCCTCACCCGTGACCAGACACGCATCCATAGTTCCCTGGACACTTTCTCCAGCATCTCTGGGTGCTCCATGCTCACAGCGGTGAGGAATCTCATGGCTGATAAACTTCCTGTGGGGCGGAGATACTCAGAGACAGGGCTCTTCTAGCTTGTTT